TCAGATTCTCTATCTTTATCTCTATCTCTGTGTGAGTATGTGTCTGTCTATCTCTCTGTGTCTCTGTCTGTCTCTCTCTCACACACACAAGCACATACATGCACACACACACATGCATGCACACACCCCAGTACCTATACCGCACTTTGAGTTTTGGGGGAGAGATGGGCAGCCTAACTGACCACGATCAGAGGACCTGGGCACACAGTGCCGTGTGAAGAGGAGCTGAGATGACTCAGGACTCCCAGAACCCCTGAGGAGCAGGACTGCCTTCTGCATGGTTCTCCGAGCCATCTGAAAAGCAGCAGAAGCACAAAGCCCTGCTTCCACATAGCAGGCCTTCAGCTGAGCTGTTTACTCCTCCACACAAAGCCCTTGTTTATGTGACAGATGGTTCACGCTTCTCCTCTCTCCCTCCCTCCCTCCCTCACCCTCTTCGCTTGTTCTCTCTGTTGTTTTGTTCTCCACTTTTCCTCTTCTCCCACCTTCCCTGCTTCACACCCCTCTTCCTGAACTGACCGAAGGGACAGGGGAAAAAAGCAGACAGAATATAAGATCTTAGCGGACGGTTCTGTCCAAGCAGGCTGCCTGGACTCACTGCCAGTCACAACACTCATATTTGAAATGTATATGGGAAAAGAATAACAAGTCTTTGACACTGTAGGAGCCACAGAAATGTGAAAAACCCCATTAACATATCTGTGGCAGGTGTGTATTACAAAGGACCGGCACACACATAATCCTTCCAGGCCTGACACTCCCAAGGAACACCCATAGGCCTGACTCCCATAGGCCTGACTCTTATTGAATATTTACCGCAATAACTGTCTCCATGAGTCAGCCTGGGGAGAGAAGTATGAAAGACTGAATGTGCAAAGGACTTTTTACATAGAAGGCTGGCTCTGCCCTTCAGACCCAAGCCTGACACCTAATGCTCCCCAGCATCAGCTTTTCCTGTAAATGAAGTCATTAGATATGTTGGTAATTTGTAGTTTCCTCTGGCTTGATTATCTGTGATGCTAGAGCACTTCCATCAAGTCCCATAAGAGGAATCTACCTGGCACTCACGTATCTGCTCTGGGAGAAAGGAAGGTAGCCTAGAACAAATGTCACCCAGTAACAGTATTGGCCTGTATAGAGGCAGAGAAGTGATAGTAAGGGAAACAGAAAAATGTCCGGTTCCATAGAAAATGAGCCACCTATAGAGAGGGTCAGAGAGGGATCTAAAAAAACTGGCTGATGTACTAGGACTAAGAGGCAACGTTGGGTACCTGCCTGGGTGTCCGAGAGAAAAGAACAATGATGAAAAATTCAGCAAAGGAGGTGTGCTGCTGATCCGCCTGGTCACTTCCAGTCACTCCCAGGCCCTCGGCGTGCTTCAGGGGCCTTCTCTAAGCATGCACACACTTTTTACAAGTTTGAATGGGGGTCAGGTTCCACACAAAAGTCATAACTGTCCTGCATGACCGCCTCCACCACCACCACCTCCTCAACAATAAAGAGTAAAGTTCCCCTTGCCCCCCACCCCCAGCTCAAAAAGATCAGGCCGCTATGTGAGCCCAAATAGCTACATCTGCAAACGATTGACTCCAGGGTTAATTACCGATTAGAACTGTAAATCTCTGCTTCCTTTGGCTCCTGCGAAGTTGATTTCTCTTGAGAGGAAGGGGACTGGAAGGGGCAGAGAGAAAGTCATTTGAGACAAAGAGGGAGAAATCCAAGCTTAAAGAGACACACTTCAGATTCAAGAGGGGAAAGTTCTCATAACCCAGAGTGGGAAACCGGCCAGGCTTGTCTCCCGAGCAAAGAGCTGAGCAGACGGCCCAGGGCTAGTGGTTAACTGATGCCACTGAGGGATGTTGGACCTCAGTGGCCAAGCCACCGCCCCATTTTACCCCCAAGTTGCCCAGTAATCACTCTCAGGGACAGAGCTTGGTTTCATCTGAGTTTCTTTTGTGTGTGCTGTGTGTGTGTGTGTGTGTGTGTGTGTTAAGTGTACTGAATGTGTGTCTGATGTATGCACACATGTATGTTTGAGTGTTCACACCTCTGCAAGAGCACTCAGGGTCCAGACAGTGACACCTGTGTCCTGATCTAGGGTCTCTGGTTGAACTACAAGCTAGGCTTGTAAGCAGAAAGCACAAGCAATCCTCCCACCTCTGTCCCCTTCTCCTCCCTCCCCAGCTCTGTACGGGTACAGGCACATGCATGGTCACATCAGGCTTTGTGTGTGTGTGTGTGCGTGTGTGTGTGTGGTGTGTGTGTGTGTGTGTGAGAGAGAGAGAGAGAGAGAGAGAGAGAGAGAATGTGGTCGCTGAGATGCAAAGCTGGGTCTTCATACTTGTGTAACAAGCCCTGCTTCTCTCCCTTTGCAGAACAGAAGGCTGTGAGGGTAAATCATAGGTCCAAGGCTACCTCCGTGAGAGCGATGGGGACCGGATGGCAACCCAGATTCCACATTCTTAGTGGAATGTCTTAGTGACTGGTGTCACTATAATTCTTGCCTTCTCAGACCCTGAACTTCAAGGGCTTCTCAAATTGGAAAACGAGACTAACGTAGTATTCAAAAATGCAGAAAAGAAGCATTAGTCAAGTCAATACTGTGTTTTGCCAGGGAGGCAAGTTTCCTTTGCTTGGAATGAAGTCAACGCAGAGAGGGCACACTTGACGTGCTCATCGGGAGCTCTGGCTCATCCATTCAACAAACATTGAAGGCCAGGTTTTGGCCAAAACTATATAGAACCACCCAGTGTAGATAATCTCACGACAGATGCCGTAAGGGCTGTACCAGTGGCATGTACCACTAAGTAGTCTGGGAGTTCACACCGGAGAAAGAAGCAGCTTAGGGGTCAGGAACAGATCATTCTATTGGTGAGTGTGAGACAGCAAGAGAAATCAAAATAACGTGTGTGTTGTTAGAGGACAAACAAATGCTGGAGCCTGACATGGAAGCCAGGGAGAATTAAATGTTCTGGAAAGTTTGGGGCTTGTGGTGGATTTGGCAGAAGCATACAGGAAAGCAAATGCCAGAATAAGTGTCTACTGCAGTAAGGACAGAGCCTTGTCCTGTCCATGGAAAGTGGTTCAATATAGTCAACCTGCCACCAGGTCACTGGCTGGCCACCCCAGGGAATAGTGGCACATCTGGGGCTCAGTGCTGGTCTCTGCTGTTGGCAGATCTGGAAGTCAGCAGCAATGGTAGCCAGGTCAGTCATGGTGACTGGACTTCCCCCATCACTGCCGCCATAGCCACTTTGCCCATGAGGCCATTGGGCGATGACAGGGATGGCTGGGGAAGGAGACTGACTGTCCACGGGAGTCATCCTCTCTATGGCTACTGAACTCCTCCTCGGCAGAAGTTACCTTTGACAAGCATCTACACAGGACACAAGTGTCTTCACATCCTCTGATTTTTGCAGAGATCTAGCCACACACTCCTTCCCCGGATGTTGTCGCTCTTATCAATTTTCCAGTCATGCTCTTGCCAAATCCCTGACCAGCCAATCCATTGACTCAGCCCATGAATCAGTGAATAATAGCAATCTTGACCCAAAGGCAGCATGAAGTCCTTGAGCCTGGTTTAGGCTTTTGAAACCTCAAAGGCCACCCCCAGGGGCACACTTACTCCCACAAGACCACACCTCCTAATCACTTCAAATAGTGCCGCTTCCTGCTCACTAAGCATTCCAGTTTATCAGCCTGTGGGGGAATGTTCTCATTCAGACCACCACATGACAGCATCACCAATCAGTAAATACTAACCGGGACAGGAGGTGCAAACTGCTGGCGTTAGACTGTGAGAAAAATGGTGCATGGTCCTGGGAAGATGAGAGTGGAGGTGACTGAAGGGCCAGACACTAACTAAAGAGGCCGCTAACTCTCACGCCCATCTAAAACCTGACCCCTAGGAACGCGAGGGCACTGTGGTCAGAACCTTAGCGGAAGCTGTAAGTGTCGGCTGCTTTCTCTAAGTTCTCCTAAGTTTATTCTGGTTTTGTTGTTGTTTTCGTTTTCTGACACAGGGTTTTACCATTCTGGCTTGAACTCCCATCCTCCTCCCTTAGCCTCCCCAGTGCTAGGATTACAGACATTTCCCACCACACCCTGTGGTCTGCCGGTTCTGTGGGTGTGAGGGGGGCATAGGGGCTGTTCTGTGGTTTTGTGAGTGTGAGGGGGGACAAGGGGGCTGTTCTGTGGGTGTGAGGGGGCATGGGAGTTGTTCTATGGGTGTGAGGGGGACATGAGGGCTATTCTGTGATTCTGTGGGTGTGAGGGGGACATGGGAGTTGTTCTATGGGTGTGAGGGGAACATGAGGGCTGTTCTGTGATTCTATGGGTGTGAGGGGGACATGAGAGTTGTGTTGTGGGTGTGAGGGGACATGGGGGCTGTTTTGTGAGTGTGAGGGGACATGGGGGCTGTTCTGTGGGTGTGAGGGGGACATGGGAGTTGTTCTGTGGTTCTATAGGTGTGAGGGGGACATCAGGGCTGTTCTGTGGTTCTGTGGGTGTGAGGGGGACACGGGGGCTGTGTTTGTTGGTGGAAGTCAGAGGTCAACCTCAGGTGTCTTTCCTCAGGAGTTGCGTTCCTTAGATTTGAGACAGTGTCTTTCACTGGGACCAGGGATTCACCCGTTTAGTTAAGGTGGCTGGCCAGGGAGGCCCAGGGATTTGCTTGATTCCAGCTCCCTAGAACTTTGAAACTTTGATGATTAGCTAGGGCCACTGCAAAGGGGCTTTTTATGTGGATTCTGAGCTGGAACTTGGGTAGTTGAGCTTGCACAGCAAACCCTTCACTGACCGACCTCTCTCTCTCTCTCTCTCTCTCTCTCTCTCTCTCTCTCTCTCTCTCTTTCTCTCTCTCTCTTTCTCTCTCCGAACTCCAAAAGGGCATTTAATTCAAGTCTTTTCAAAATGTACACCACCCCAACCCTGTCATCTCCCCAGTGGCCCCAGGGGTCCTAAAGCAACTGCTTATTTGTGTGTGCTCTCCCCTCCCACAGGTCTGCTCATTTATTTTGGGTACGGCATCTGGAACAGCACCCTGGAAATCAGCGCCAGAGAGCAGGCCCTGCACCAAAGCACATATCAACGCTACGATGTGGATGACCCCTTTTCCGTGGAGGAGGGATTCTCCTATGCCACTGAGGGCGAGAGCCAGGAGGACTGGGGCGGGCCAGCCGAGGACAAAGGCTTCTATTACCAACAGATGTCAGATGCGAAGACAAACACCCGGACGAGTAGCAAAGCGAAAAGTAAAAGCAAGCACAAGCAGAACTCAGAGGCCCTGATTGCAAATGATGAGTTAGATTGCTCTCCAGAGTAGGGCTGAACTGCAGGCGCCGAGAGGGGTGGCTTCTCTGTGAATCCAGCCTGCGTGCTGGAAAGTGGAACCTACTTCCGACTCTCATTTCACAAACTTCCCCAAAGGCCATCCCCAGGCACAACCTGTCATTTGCTATTTTTGCTGTTCAGGAGAGTTCTACTGAAGAGTTTTACCCAGGGCCCTTAATTGACCCCCTTGTAAAAAAAAAAAAAATGAAAATCAAAAGAAATTCTATGTTAGTGAGCTGTCCCAGCCGAGGACAGCAAATGTTTTCTTTGCAGGATGGATCTTTGTGCTAAGATCCGAGTAGGCTTTCCTCCAACCCTGCTGAGGCTCCATCCAGGCCCTTGGGAGAGGAGCCACAAATGTGGCTGTGGCGTGAGGCGGCTCTACAGCTCCCAGAGCAGAACTAGGAGCTGCTCCCCCAGGCCTGTAGGTCAGGCTGTTTCAGGACTTTCTCAGTCAGCAACACTGTGTCCTTAAATCTCACCTCCCCAAAACTATCCACAGAGAAGACCCGGCTTCTCTTTACTCACCAAAGTTCTTACAGTTTCCAGACTATAAGGTTAGGATCCAGAAAAGATAGAAGACTCTAAGACCATATTCCCCGTAAAGCAACCACGTAGTCATCAAAGTATAGTAAGAAGTACCACCAAATCTTTACTTAAATGCTCAAGAAAAAAAAAGAAAGAAAAACTGAAGTAACCATCTCTTGAACAGAGGTCAGGAAGGCATTGGCAGAAATGAACCATCTGTCATGCGCTTCCTTACACCAGACTCTAAGCTCCTGCAGGTCTCGGGAAAGGGCAGAGGTGGAGTGTGATTGCAGGCCTCTGATATGCCTGGAAGAAATGGGCTATTTGTTCTATAATCAGATAAAAATCTTTGCGAGGAGCAGTAACCCAGCCACTGAGATCACATTGCAAATCTTACTTCATATTTCTAAAATTATAAAATCTACAGGGTTTTTCCTTTTTGGCTAGGTGACTACCGGATTGGATGCTGCTGGTTTCCAGAGATGTGGAAGACCAGGAACTTGGGTCATCCAGCTCAGAGAGCTCTAATTCCCACCTGGGCCTCCCTCCTCTAGGCTAGCTCACCTTTAGAGTGTTTTTCATCTTAGTTCCGAAAGCACCTTCCCTGAGGTCCAGAGAAATGGCTGTCTGGTGGGGGTTAAGCATAGGCCTCCAAAGGGATTCTTAAAGAATTTTCTCCAAAACAGGATAAATGAATTTACAACAGAAAAACATGTGGCTTCAGTAGCGTGTGTGCACATGTGTATGAAAACAAATTTCTCTCACTAAGATTTCTGCGAGAATTTTTTGGAAATGGGGCAAAAGAGCAAATTCCTTGCCCTCTGCTCCTCAATTCATCATCGGCCAAAAATTTTCATGAATATCAACTAACATCACATCTTTCTTGCTTGCTCTGAAGCGCATGTTTTCTTGGCATGTACTTAGGTTACAGAGAAGGCATGTTTCCTGTTGAGCTGACCGCCTCAAATACACCAGCGGCTAAGTAGAAGCCAGGAGGAGATCTGTAACTTCAGCCCTTAGAACCTAGGAGACAGCAGGGTCCCATGACAGAAACAAGAAGCTTCAACATAACAGATAAAGATCAACTGAAACTATTTTTTTAAATGATGCTTTCAGATAAATTGCATACCATGCTCTTCGCCAATGTCTGCCAGTACACTAAAATAAGTACATTTTTTTAGATCTCGTTCATCACTCCATGTTAATTATGTAGAACCCTGGCTTCCAGTACTCATTATTATCATTTTTATGTAATGTCTGACAAAGCTGTTTCCTCTTGCCTAAACTTAACCATCACAACGCAGTGCCTGGCCTGCAACAAATACCCTGGAGAACTCACTCTAAGATAATTGTGAGTCATGTCTGTTAAAGCTAAGTTTTAAACTGGGGTAGGATGCAGAAACCCTGCCTAGTAGAAACAGCTGTTAAGCGGGGTCCACTTCTCGATATTTGGGGTAATATTCTCTTCCTTAGATATGGTTAGGAGAAATATGGACGCTACATGATGAATCTTAACGTGGATGGAAAGTTATGTCTTACTGGTGGTGTTTAGGTATTAAAGTAGCAATGGTCAGGTGTGTGCTATGTCTGTAGCAGAAGAAAGAGCATGGGCTTTACAGTTAATGTCGTTGGTGTTGATTCTGTGCAGAGCCAATGAATTATTCTCATTTCGGATGCCATTTTTCTCAGTAGCTTTAGATGTTTTTAATCGTTGTTCTCTTCATTTTTCTAAAATTGTTGGGGTTATCTTCTTTGCTATATTGGTTTTTAAACTATATTTTTAGCTTGGAAAGTTTTCTCGGGTATGTAGCATGTTTCCACCATGTTTTTTCCGCTCCTGTGAAAGAGTCCCGGGTTTCACAAGAAGGTTTTCAAATACCACCATATTTGAACATCGTGTTTAAGAGACTGCATTAAAAGTAGGATTACCTTATAAATAATTCTCTTAGAAAAGCTCTTCCAGTGGGGGGCTGGTATATGTGGAATGTGTAATTTTGGAGCCACTAATTTAATATTTTAAATTGTAGTCTATTTATCAACGCTCTGCCTCTTTTCGTTAAGATTGGAGGCAGGTATTAAAACACAAGTGCTCCAAAGCAAAGGGGAAGAATACAATCACAATGGGAGGAGAAAGGGGAACTTAGAGCCAGAATGTGTGAAACACTCAAGCGCAAGAACTCTCAAGGGGTTTGCTGAGTTTTCCAATGAAAAACACCTTAGAAAGCAATAGGCTTGTCAGTAATGACAGCCAGGACTACATGATAATAAATAACAAATAAATAAACCTTTGCCCATGAGGGCAGAGTGTTAAAACAGCACAGACCCCTGACATCCACAGAGAAGCTCCAAAGCTAGATTACACTAGCTACGTGTACCTAATGGAGAGTGGATACCAAGAAATACATGCTGGGCAGTGGTGGCGCATGCCTTTAATCCAGCACTCGGGAGGCACAGGCAGGCAGATCTCTGAGTTAGAGGCCAGCCTGGTCTATAAGAGCTAGTTCCAGGACAGCCAGGGCTACACAGAAAATCCTTGTCTTAGAAAAAAGGAAGGAAGGAAGATATGATTGGTGGGGAAATGAGTGGCTAAATGAAATAAAGGAAAATAACCTACCTATTCAGTAGTTATTCACAGAGTACCCGTTGTGTGCTATGGCATACTCTGGTGCCCTGATAAGTGAACCTACATAAACATGGAGGAAGTGACTCCACATATGTGCTCTCCAACCTTCACATGGGTGTTCTGGGACACACACACACACACACACACACACACATCATGCATACACATTCAGTAATCATAAACAAAACTTTCGAAGAAATCTATTCAGAACCATATCAAAGATGGCAGGCGGGGTGGAGATAAGAACGTGCTTTGGGGCTTAAACATGGAAAACATCCCCACACATTGGAAAGATCAAAGAATGCAGTGTACACACAGCCTGTGGAAGCCGCAGAGCCTTCACAAGGTAGAACAGAAGAGAGGCATGCAGAAGACGGCTAAGATGCAGACTGTGGCCGAGGGCTGCCCTGAGTTTTGTTCTTTGCCTTCCTCCAGGAAAAGCAAGGAGCTTGTCTGGCTGTCGCTATATTTTACATGTGATTCACATGATACAGTAAGAGAGATGCCAGGAACTTAGAGGAGGGATCAGTCACAGCTCCAGTGACAAGCCCACTGGTGCTCTGCGGGTGAGCAGCACTTGTTGGGGGATGGGGCAGTGAGTCAGGCAAGGTAGGACTTGAGAAAAACTGGGCAGTGGTATCATTGCCCAGGCAAGGAGCAAACGGGTCACACACACACTTTTAGCAGAGAGATGAAAAAATTCCACGCTCAAAGCAAGACACTGCTCTTCCTCCCATCTTGGATTTTACATTCCCTTAGGAAACTGTTATCGTCTACCATGCAGACACACAACGCAACTTTTCAACCACCTTGCTTTCGATGACCAAATCTAACTCCTGCTTATATCTATCTAATCTAAATATTAAAACCCCCGCTTCTGACTTGACTTAAATTGAGCTCGAGGCTGGTTTAAACTAGAGAGAGAAGCTGAGTGTTGGAATTATGCAAAACATCCCAGGTGTGCCTCTTAGTAAGAGCAAGTCCTGTGCCTTCATAATGCTACAAATGCAGTCACTGTTAGAAAATAAGATTCAGAGAAATGCTGCGCAACTGAAAAGAGTTGAGAAATTTGACAGCCTTTAGATTGTGCTTGTTGGAAACCACATTACCAAGAGAATTCCTCTTTGAAATATATAGAACCATAAATAGAATTTCCATCTAAGTATCCACCTGAAAGACTAGGCTTACAGGAGCCTGGGAAACCCCTAAGACCCGGGCACAGGTTGGTCCAACTTTCCGGCTCGTGTTAGAACGTTCTCTGATAGAACGTCAAAAGTCAGGGCATAAGCTGCCGCTAGAGCTGGATCAGTTCCGGAAGTCCTGGGCGCAGTGGTCCACTCTGGGACCCCAACCTCGGCATGGGAGCGCGCCAGAGATGGCTTCCATTTCCCATGGAGCGGAACATGAAGGAAAACCAGGAAAAGGTGCCCGCCATCGTGGTGGGACTTCTCTCCATTCTCAAACGTCTTTCAAAAAGACTTGTTAATAAAGCAAGTATTTCCAACCCATTTTTATGAAGCCTCCGTAGGCCCTGTCCCTGAGTACTTCTTTACCACTGTTTATCTGCAGAAAGGTCCTTTGGAAATCCAAGACCAACAGCAGTGGCCTGACCATCAGAGTCCCTAGTTTCAGTTAACATTGTTTCAGGCTAGAAACTGCATCCCAACCCAGAGGGTCCACACCAGCAGGGCCAGAAGGCTGTTTCCTCCAGAACTGTCACTGCATTTTCAGTTGGTTAAGAGTTCTTGCTGCTGGGCGGTAGTGGCCCACGCCTTCAATCCCAACACTTGGGAGGTAGGCAGATCCCTGCAGAGTTCGAGGCCAGCCTGATCTACAAGAGCTAGTTCTAGGACAGCTAGAGCTGTTGTTACACAGAGAAACCCTGTTTTAAAAACCAAATAATAATAATAAGAAGAAGAAGATAAAAGAGTTCTTGCTGACTGTAACTACCTGTAACTCCAGTTCCAGGATGTACAACGCCCTCAGGCACTAACCCGTGTACATAGTCAAACACATACACAACATTTTTTTTTTAAAGAAAAATAACTCTCTGAAAAAATATGGGATGTCCTCTTTTCCTGTTTCGGGCTTAAAGCCCAAAGAGATTAGTGAAAGTTTAAAGTCCACCAGAAATTCATATGTATTCTGCCACAGCCGCTAGAATAGTATTGAGATCACTCATTAATAAATGCATGGAATCACACAGCCCAAAGGAGACTTCCAAAAAGACATCATAGGTTTGAAGGCTCCTGACCACAGATGGCTCTAATCTTTTACTCTTTCTGAATATTTAGTGTGTATTGGTTCATATAAGCGAGGAAAATAGCATCCTGTTGGGAGTGGGAGGCAAGGACAGCCCGGATTTTTACACTGAAATCCTCCTCTGTGCTCATTTTTGTTTCTGTCTAGCTTTTCTGACTTTAGCACTGGTAGTACTGGCTAAAGGAAACTGTGGGTCATGGGAATGTTGTCAGAAGTGCAGACTCTGAAGGGCTGCCTTCATTCTGGTGTCGGGATGATGCCCTGGTTCATGGACATCCATCGAGGGCTCTTGGCAGTTGCTGATAGACAAGTCGCGTTCCTAGTCATGAAGTTGAGAGCTTACACTGGGAATCATAAGCCCCTGCTTCCCAAAGCAGAGATGCTGTTGATGTTATAAAAAGCACCTAAATACCTCAACTATCTGGGCTGAGAAAAGGAGCTTCAGGCTTTCAAGAGGGCGGCTAACGTCCTCGCTCCACGTAGTCATCCAACAGGACCCGGCATTCCGCTTCTTCTCACTGTGGGAAAGTAACGTGACCATTTAGTTCATATCCCAAAGTTATAAATACAACCTGTAAATTCCACTAACCTGTTTCAGTTTCGTTTGGTCCTTAAAAAGTACAACTTGCATTTTGCAGATGGTCATTTCTGGTGTGTTCTCGGCTACTTTCTTTTTCTGTATGAAATTGTTGTATTGTTAATGTGTTCGTTTTGTGGTTTTAATTCCCATTGGTGCACTGTACAATGGGGCGTTGTAATGTACCATGAAGAAAAGGATAATATGCAGATGTAATATAAAGTGTGTTTTATTTTCAAATGACTGTAGTGTTGACAAATATTTTGATTTATCAAAATACTAAGGAAAGTTATAAATTTACCAAAATGTGTATATTTTAATAAATGCATAAAGCTTTATTGTGTGCCTTTACATCTAAATTTTGGGTTATTAAAAAAAAGTTAGAAACAAAACTGTCTTGCTGTTAACTATCCACAGAAATGTAAGCTTTTCCTCAGAGAACCAGAAGAGACGGGGAGGACCTAGAGTTTCCTGTGCTGCAAACATCACAGTGTCTGAAGCCTGCTGCTGTCTCCATCAGCTGAGGAAGTGACTCTCGGCTTACAGGTTTCGATTATCCTTTGTAGAAAAGACAGAGAAATAGCCTCGCATTACTGTGGAGCATTTATCGTCTTCAGAGCCACAGCTTGTCAACTAGCAAACGTAAACCTGCAGAAAATCAAGGTGTCCGACTTTCAAATTCACTTTTCTTGCTGGAGGAGGGCACAGATTCTCCACTTCAGCAGACCTTCCAGGAGAGCCTTCCCTGGTCATTTTCTCCTGGCTCCCACTCATGACTGCATCCTTTACTGTCCCATCCATGGTGCCACAGCTGCCACCCCCTCAGTAGAATCCTAAGATTAATATGGAACATTCAACTCATCTTTCCTATCCATTTTAAAAACAAATTAGGAAAACATTGACTGCCCACCATCCCAAACCAATTACCATGGCTTAAATGGTGGCTTAATGTTGTCTTCTTTTAGACAGGATTTCTCTGTGTTACAGCCCTGGGCTACCTGGAACTTGCTTTGTAGACCAGGCTGGCCTCGAACTCACAGAGATCCACCTGCCTCTGCCTCCTGAGTGCTGGGATTAAAGGCATGTGCCACCACCGCCCGGCAATGTTGTCTTTTTGATGTCACAGAATTAAACCTGATGATGGCTCAGGCCTGTTGACATTACCTGTGACTCCAGCACTTGTGAGATGGAGGCAGAAAGATCAGGAGTCTGAGGTAGCATTGAGCTACATTACAAGTTCAAGGCCAGCCTGGGCTTTCTGAGACCCTGTCCACCCTCCCCCCCCCCCACACACACACACCAAAAAAAAAACGGGGCTAGGGAGATGGAAGAATAAGTTTAGATCCCCATCATCCACGTAAAGCTGGGCATGTTAGTGTGCACCTGCAACCCCAGCATTCCTGTTATATGAAAATATTAGATGAGCAGGAGAAACGGGCCAGGGCCAGCTAACTTGCTATATGCAGTGGTAGGAAAACGAAAGAGCCTATCGCAGATAAAGAGGAAGTGAGGACAGAACTCAAGGTTGTCCTCTAACCTCCATACATGTAGCATCACACATACATACCCAAGAACTTGCATGATCTCACAAGGAAAGAAGATAGAGGATGCAGGTGGAAACTAGCATTTCCCACTAGCTCTGGGTCTTCAATGCCATGGCTGCACACCGGCTATCTAGACAACTCCCTGGACAGGTGACCTCTAAAGAGAATGGTCTACCTGGTCATCTGGTCATCTGGACTTCAGGACGGTGCTTATTGTCTAAGTCCACAGTCTGGCGCTGAACTCAGCTGTGACTTTCCTGCGAACTGGTGCCTCTCCACTCAGAACCAAAGCCTTTGCTGGCCCACATTAGAACCCAGTGCAAGTGATACTGAGACCAAGGGACCAGAGACAGCACTTCAGGCTCAGGTACGCAGACATCTCCTCTTCCAATAACACACTGTCATTTCTGGGCTCTGCTTTTAAATCAGAGTGTCTGAGTTGCTTCAGAGACAACTGCTCCTTAA